GGTCTCAATAAATTGTAAAAAAAAGTGTTTTAAATTGTAAAAATTCATTTTTAAAAAAATGTGCATTTTGTTTAAAAACTTAAGGGCACTGTTGGTGTTTTTGGCCCCTGGGGAGGCACTACAGAGGTCCAGTGCTTTCTGTTCTTAAATGGTTCAGAGCTGAAGTCTTTGTCGGAGCTCAGGAGGGAATGGGAGACCACCCCAATCGATGCTTGGAGGCATTTCCAATTACAGGACTTCTTTAGACATCTTCAGGGTCGAATTTGACCTAAAGATTCTCTGACACCGTTGGAAGCTTTATGTACTGCAACTGATCTATAAACTAAAAAGAATCAGCGAGCACTTCAAACCAACCACTAATGCACTAAAAGGCAACCAAAAAAAACTTCAAAAGCATGTAAAATTTGTTGTCTATATAAAAACATACTATTTATATTACATTTTAGATGCAGTCTACGCAAGTTTTTATATAGATACGTACAATTTATTTAGTCTTACAAGAGAATAGATATTCATGCCTATTCTATTCTGGATTCTCTTTGTAGTTAGACTTTTTGGAAAATGGCATTCGCACATGCATTATGTCTTCAAGAAAATGGTGCCCTTTAAATGCGCACGAGCGTAGCGGGCTATATACAGACATTACTTGACTTGAAGTCCGGCGATACAGGCACAACCCTTTTGATAAAGTGTGTGGCACGAAATGCGTCAAGGAGGAGCCGTACGCCGTGAGGTCACGCCACCGGAGCCTCATGAAGGTCCGGCGGCCATCTTACACACTTGGATGGTCAGTGCACACTATACAGCTGTTATTCTGTACTGCCCAATTTTACTATTTTATCCACGTGGATGGCATTTTATTGGCTTACTTAATAAATATTGAAATACTACACTATGGGCGCCTTCTTTCTTGGCTCCACATCAAGCTGATGATTTTCAGACCCCAGTGTGAAGGAAGGCTGCAGAGCAGTTCAGGATCCAGAGGAGGGAGATTCCTTTCCAGGCTACACATCCGTTCCACCTTAAAGGGGAACTCTGGCTGATCACATCATTTACACAAATGCGTATTTAAAACGTGCATCTGGTGAGTGCGCATTCTTACTATACCCCTGGCACTTCTCTGAATATTTTATTGACACATGGAATGTATTTGTGACCACTTGAACACAGATCTTCACTCAGTATCACCAATTAATAGAATTTTTACTTTCAGATGGACTATTTATTGGTTTATATATTCATTTCAGAGCACATATTGAAATCTTCAGGATTGCATTTAACTACTTATTTTAACTGTGGGTTTACGCAAAAGATTAATTAATTTAAAGCACTTTATTGGATTTGAGAATATTTATATGATCATTATTATCTTGTGAGCGCTGCACTCTCTGACTTTATTGCAACTGATAGTCCGACCAGACTCTTATCTAAGTTATACAAGCTTCTACTTCACCTTTCGACACAGATGACACCTTACTATATTAAAGAGTGGGAGAATTAGCTTGGTAGATGCTTCTCCATAGGCAGGATAGGTAAGGTCACCAAACCACCCATAAGTCTTCTGTTTGCTCCAAAACACAGGAGTCCTGTTTTAAATTCCTGGCACAGTGGTATAGGGTCCCAGATAAACTGTCCCAGATATATCACTTTGCATCTGCACATTTCTGGAGAAGATGTGAACAGAGGGGAACAGTTCTGCATATATGGTGGAATTGTCCCTGTATTAAATCCTTTTGGTCAGATATCCAGAGCCTTTCAGCCACGGTCACAAAACACCAATTAAGGGGCAACCATCTTCCAGTATTGTTTCATGCTACCCATTTACTGGTTGGTAAATGCAAATGCTCTTTGATATGTCAACCCTCAATGCTGGCAGAAGCCTTATACCTCTACACTGTAAGTCCTCAGTGGTTCCCAATATGCAGGTCTGTCTTCTGAGGGTGTGAGAAATTCAGGCAGTGGAGGAGTGGAGGCACCAATGTCTTGATAAATAATCTCAGTTCTATATGACTTGGGCAGTTTGGATTGATTTTACCACCTCTGACCTAGATAAACAATTGATGCAGTATAGTTGAACAGGAGACACACTAACTCTTGCTAAACTAGAGATGGTTTGGAAAGTTTTAATGCTGTCTGCAGGGGTGGGCTGACAACTCATGGGGCCCCCGGGCAATAGGGGATCATGGGGCCCCTGTGTCCTTGCCCACACCCAAAAAAGCCTATGAAACAGTCAATGAAAGGTACCAGGGGCATCTCATGGGGCCCCCTACTGACCCCGGGCCCTCGGGCAGTGCCCGAGTGCTCAAATGGTCAGTCTGCCCCTGGCTGTCTGTTTTCTTAACCCTCTTCCCCCAAGGGGACTAGATGATTTTTTTTTTTGTTTTGCCTGCCTTTTTTTTCTTTTTTCCACTTTGGGCCTTCCTTCTACCTTTACCTAATCTTTGCTTCTTAGATTCTTTCTTTAGCTATTCTTGGCCACTAGGACTCTGATAGGCCTGGTATTAGGCCCTAATCTGGGCCTTCATTGATCACAGTCACTGGATTGTTTTCAGTTTTATGTGTAATTGTGATCTTTGCAATGCACCCCTTAGTTTTCCAGAGACGTGTGCCCCTGTTGAGTTTTTTATAATTGTTTGATTTTTGGAGACTGGCAGTCTATTTGAGTCTTCTGAACCTATTGATACACTGTTATGCTTTTCATACTTGCATATAGATTTAAAAAAATAAGAGCTCATTTACACAGGATCTTTGGTCCATATACTGTGAATGAGCAGTTTGTGCGGCTGAAACCATCTGTGACTCTATGAGAATGCAGTGGCTGTATGAATACAGCTGCAGGCCCTAATATGATAAGTGTGCAGGTTTGGGTTAATGGTCCCAATAATCACTGTCAGTGTTTGGAGGTCATACACCTGCATCCACATACTTGTCAAATTAGGACCTGCGATTGTGTTCGAACAAACTGGTGCGTCCCCATAGCGTAATATAGGCTGCCTGCACACAGAAATAGACACATTAATTTTAAATTATGATTCACGCTGTACAAGCCACAGCACCTATGTGAATGAGCCCCAAAACCTAATTTACACACAAAACTTTATTCAGTAACCTACTGCAGTTTTTATTTTAGATTTAGCAGGACTTTTGTAAGTTAAGTTATGCCTGTGTTGGCTAATAAGGATTTTAGTGTATTTTCTGTGAAAATATTGTTTTGATGTTTTCAGGAGGAACCCTGGCAAGATTTCTAACAGCAGACTGTGCACACTTACAGAATGGTCAAACTAAAAAACACTCCTGGTTTGGACGTATAACATTCTTTAAATTAAAAACATCTGAGCACACTCTCCACCACGATTGAGCTATAACATTCTAAAACTACTGAGATGATCAGGGGAGCTAAGCTTTTCACTTGTTGCCCTCTACTATAAATCTGCACTCTTAACCCATATCATAGATTAAATTTTCAACAGCAAAAATATGGATTGACATAGAAAACACACTTTTGCTTATACCGTTTGTTGTCACGTACCTTGGTTGAAGGCTGAGTTGACCAGAGTGTTTCGCTCGCAGGTCTGGTCCGAGCACCCCTGAATGTGGTGACAGTGGTATAAAGCTCAAAGAAGCATGGGTGTCAATTGCTTGATAGCAGGTGACTGTCACGGTCAGGGATGTAGTCAAGGTGAGCCAGGGTCATAAACAGTGAGACAGCAGCATGGTTAGGAGGCAGGCTAGGGTTGGTACCAGGTTAGTAAGTAGAGTGAGGTCCAGTAGCAAGCCAAGGTCAGCACCAGAAGATCAGACAGAGAATAGTCAGAGGCAAGCCGAGGTCAGCACCAGGAGATCAGGCAGAGAGTAGTCAGAGGCAAGCCGAGGTCGGCACCAGGAGATCAGGCAGAGAGTAGTCTAAGGCAAACCGAGGTCAGAATCCACACAACAAGGTCTGGAGCAAGCCTGGTCAGCAACAGAAGATCAGTCAGTACAAACAGGAACATGGATCACAGGAAGCTGAAGAGCATCCACTGATTAGTACACAGCAGAGTCTCCTTTAAATTGGCAGCTTGGCGGCAATGCTGGAAGACGTGCACACCGATGCACGGTGGTGCATAGAAATGCATCTATGTGTCAGTGCATGTTGGATATTAGCCTGGGTGTGTCTGTGTGCTGGTACACATGCATGAGCATTAGCTGCACTGGAATGAGCAGTAGCTGTAGAAGAATTAGCATTAACTGTAGAAGAATTAGCAGTAGCTGCACTAGTTTCCTGACACTTGTCTTCCTTTCTATGTGTACAGTCTGAAGATCTGCCTTCACAATCCTCCTTTCCTTCTAGTATCTCATCTCCCTCACTGGTTTTGGGCTATGCCATTAGACTGTGCCATATTTCCATATGTTGGTCTGCTTCCTCCGATTTTAGGAAAAATAAATAGTTTGTACATTGTATGCATATTTTGTTATACTTTGCATACTATGAATTTTCTGTTTAGTAAAGTGCATTAACCACTTGCCCCCCTTACATCTGTAACCGCCAATGGCGGTTCTGGTACGGTGGTGCACATGCCCCCTACCCAGAAATGCAAATCACGTATATATACGTGATTGTGCGCAGCCCTGCCACCTTGTAGCAGTACTACTACTATAGGGCAGCAGGCAAGCAGTTAATACACTATAGAATTGGAAGCTTCATTGGCTTATAGCCAAAGAACCTTACCGGAACAAACAAAACAACTTTTTAACCACTAGCCTACTGAGCACTTATACCCCCTTCCTGCCCAGGTCAATTTTCAGCTTTCAGTGCTGTCGCAATTTGAATGACAATTGCGCGGTCATGCAACACTGTACCCATATGAAATTTTTATCATTTTTTTGAGACAGATAGAGCTTTCTTTTGATGGTATTTAATCACCTCTGGGTTTTTTATTTTTTGCTAAACAAACCAAAAACTACTGAAAATTTCTTAGTTTTTGTTTTAAAATTTTGTAAATAAGTAATTTTTCTCCTTCACTGATATGCGCTAATGAGGCTGCAGTGATGGGCACTGATAGGTGGCACTGATGAGGAGGCACTGGTAGGTGGCACTGATGGGCATTGACAGGCATCACTGATGGGCACTGAAAGGCAGCACTCATATATGGCACTGATAGGCGGCACTGATAGGTGGCACGGATAGGCGGTACTGACTGGCACTGATAGGCGGCACTGACTGGCACTGTTATGCGGCACTGACTGGCACTGATATGTGGCACTGACTGGCAGCACTGACGGGCACTGATAGGCGGCACTGATGCGCACTGATAGTCAGCACTGACTGGCACTGATAGGTGGCACTGATTGGCAGCACTGATAGGTGGCACTGACTGGCACTGATAGATGACACTGAAAGGCAGCTCAGATGAGCACTGATATGTGGCATTGATGTGCACTGGTAGACACTGATATGTGGCATTGATGTGGCACTGATGGGCACTGGCAGGTGGCACTGATGAGCACTGACAGCTGGCATTGATGGACACTGACAGGTTGCACTGCTGGGGCTACACTGATCATCAGGGCACACTGATCATCAGTGCCCTGTTGATCAGTGTACATGTCCCTTCTGAGAAATGCCGATTACCGTCTCTCCTCTCCTCTCCGCTCAAGCTCTCAGCGTAACAGCTCGAGAGGAGAGAAATGCCGATAACCGACATTTCCCTGTTTACGTGTGATCAGCTGTTATTGGACACAGCTGGTCACATGACCAAGCCGAAATCTTTGTCTCTTTCCATTGTTCGGTGATCTGCCATGTCTGAAGGACACAGCGAACCGCCGATGGCCGCACTGCACGCTCCCAGAGGTGGTTATAATGGGAGAACGTCATATGACGTCCTCCCAGAACGAGAGAGAACCACCTTGCGCCCGTCATTACCTTATATGGCAGGCGGGAGGTGGTTAAAGAAATTTTCCCTTAGTCTAAGTTCACACTAGCGTTGTGTGCAGGCGGCAGAGAGGCGTTTGGGAAGCGTTTTTACAGCTTCCCAAACGCCTCTGCCAATTCTGCACATTGCAGCACATGGTGCTGTTCTAACAGGAGCGGTAGCATTGCGGCACGGCAAAACGGACGCCTCTGGTTGAGTCAGGAGGCGTTGAAGCCTCCTATTCTAGCCTATGGCGCCGGCCGGGTGTTTGCGGTGCGGTTGCGATGCGGTTGCGGGGCGTTTGCTGAGCGGTAACACCATTCAAACTTCATTATAGACATTTGTGGGGCATTTTTAATGCTCGGCAAACGCCTAGCAACCACCGCTAAACCGCGCATTGCAGCGTTTGCAGAGCATTTGCCGAGCGTTAAAAAACGCTCCGCAAACGCCGGACCAATGCTTGCCAAACGCTATAGGGGCGTTTGGCAAGCGTTGGTAAAACAGCCAAGTGTGAACTAGCCCTTACCTTAGTTAATTTGGTGAAAATTCACTTTGGAAAGAATACCCAAACGTGCAAGGAATAAGCAGTATATTCTTGCTTGCACATGACTGGATGATGGAAATCAGCACAGCTTCATCTCAATCACTGAGCTGAGGGAAATTCCCTTGCAAAGTGAACATTCTCTTGAAAAGTGAGCAGCCGATTTGCCTTTGGTAAGTTAGCTTCATGAGTATCTGGATTGTCCATTTAGGATCAGCAAAGCCTAAAAATATTTTAATGTAAAGACAATCACCTACATAGAGCTTTTGGGTTTTCCTTTTTTCTTCCTCAGTGCATCGCCTCCTTTTTCCTTCTAGTTTTATCTGTTCTTCCAACTTTGATGTGGCCCTTTGGTCCAGTAGAGTGACAACACCATAATATTTTCCCCCTGGTAGCCTTCTCTGTAACATTAGCCTAAAGCAATGAAGACTGCCAATCAAAAGTCTTTCAACAGTTGATTCTTTATTGCATTTGTCTTATCACACTGCATACAATAGGTCTTACTTTCAAACACTGCTTATTCATTCTGCACCATCATGAGGGGTGTGTCGCCTCTGGAACTGAGGTTGTATCTGTTATTCTCTATGGAAAAACTTTATGAGAACATACTCTTTAAAAAAGGAGGGGATGACTAATTATGTGGCAATTGTGACTGCTGTTAAATGTTACAAACATCGTTTTAGAAAACAAAATGTACTTTTTAACATTCTCTACAGAAAGAAGCCAAATCAGTAGCTCACTCTCTCAATTTATTGTTGTCAATATTATTTGAAATTGGCATTGAGAGAATTATGTAGGCTCACGAAGCTGACTGTTCCTTTTGAAAATGCTAATGGATTGGCTGTCAGATTTATTAGATGAGTCGCTGACTCAGAACAAATACAAAGCTTGGGTGATTTGGCTTTGCTCTTACTACATTTGCTTCATGACATTCCTGGGCCAGTGACTAAGAAAGTAAAGCAATCAGAGAGAACCAAGCAAAGAGCACTTTCGGATTAAAATTAGCAATGGCAGTCTCTTCATTTCTCTCAACAAAGGTTTCTTTGAATGTAAGCTTCTGTTCTGAATAACTATGCTGACAAAAGTTTAAAGTGTATCAACGGCAAAATCATTTTCTTTAGTTTTGAATATAATGGGTAAGGGTTAGATCCTCTGTCATTTTTTGCTGTCTGTGTCCCTGGTACGCATCTAATGGGAGAAATGTTCTGTTAACAACTGTCTAAGATGGAATTTAGATCCTTATTAGTAAGATTTCCTGTGATTCCCTGCTGATTCTCCCCATTTGGAGACAGACAGCAAAAAGAGAACACAATAGAGGTTTACACCCTTCGCTCCACTATCAAAACAAAAAAAAAAGTTTGGGCTTTATGTACTTTAATAATAACATGCCTTTTTAAACCAATTATTTATGAAAATGCGTGGTTCTAATACATACATATCATAATTAATAATTAACTTCAGAAATTTTGTGTTGTAGTCTCCAAAATACATCAGGTTATGTGATTTCCAATGTATATACGGAAAATGAATGCTAGGCTCATCAGCTGTAATAATTATGCAGTGAATACGTTCAAGCAAGCAACCATAAAATCAGCAATTTTAAACTATTTCTGAACTTGATCATATTCTTTAAACCCAGCAAGGCAAGACTACACATTATGTATATTGTATAAATCAAACCGCTCCCTTTCTTCCTGACATGTACCTTGTTTGCCCCTTATTTTTAGGAATAGATGAAAGTGAATGTATCTTCAAGAGCCACTGTGTTCTCTGTTGACAGGTATGATTGCATCAGCAAGCAATATTTTGTAAATTCAAATCAAATATAAGGGTAGAATTGAAAGCAGCCCCCTGCCCACCATGGTTGCAGTTGTTGCTCAGTAGTTAAGTCACTGTAAAGTTCAGATTATGAAAAAAAATCAATACATGTGGTTTTCTGAAACCACTAAAATCCTTTGATACTTTACAACCATAGTAGATTTTCCTTGAATGCATCCCAAGAGGGCTGCAAGCAGAAAATCTCAAAAAGGGGAAAAAATGTTGGCTTGGAAATGTTTTCATAATTATTTCATCATGTCTGTATTTTAACATCACACATGTAAAAATTGTGAATTTATTTTTCAGTAACCAACTTTGAAGATCAACCTATATGTTACATCTGTTAAGTTTCAGGGAATTAGCAAATATTTTAAAATGAATGTTTAAACAAGAAAAAAGTTTGCAATATCTATGTATTTTATTAAGTATCATCAAGTCTGAAGTGTTGTATAAAATAATAAATATCAGTTAATTACAATATTTAACAATGCCAAAGGAATTCATGAATGCATGGATGATGAAGACTTCAAATTTTATGCTTTTTTAAGATCTTGCAGTCATAAACTTTTTGTGACTATCGTCTATCAATGATTTTATTTTTAAATGATGTGCAGCACTTTAGAAGTTCCCTTCACTGAATCATAAAACAAATTTAAAGAGCATTCTTGGTTGTCCCCTTGTTCTTCAAAATCAATAAACACATGCCACGATGGAAAGAAGACTCAGTAAATCACTGTTTTCTTTGAAGAAGCAATCCCATTGGGCCCAGATGAATAAACAAGAGAGCTTTCACTCAATTCAAAGCCTGTAACAACTTTAATTTGATGTTTCCCCGTGAAAATGCTGATATAGATTTGGGTGAAGGATCTATATGCTTTAGCCCAAGAATACATCTGCGTTTGGTGGACTCATCCCCAACCTGTTGAAATGTGTTGAATTTGTCAAAAAGATCACTTGTAAAAATGAAGGTATTCTAACTACACTAGTTTAAAACTATTTGTGAACCATAGGAAACTTTATTCTGAGAAATAAAAACATTCACATGCTTCAAAATTAGCAACTGTTCATTTACCCTATTAGTTTATTTTAAGCAAAATTGCATGATTTTTGCTCCCTTTGGGGAAAAAAGGGTAAGGATTGTGGGAGGGTTTTTTTTTTAATGAAAATCCTAGTTGAATAGGATAGCATTTACCCTGTTTATTTTGGCCAAAATTTGCATCATTAGTTAAATATTTATTTGGTTGGTTTTCTGTAACAAGTTATTAATCTTATTAATCTTTAGTTTTGAAAAGTGAAGGTGTAATAGCCTGACTTCAGCTTACAATCACTGTGCAAGTGGTAACACAACCCCAAAGCAAATTGTTGTATAGCTTAGGGAAATCTTTAAGTCTACGATTGAAAAATTAGTTGGAGTTTAGCCTTGCATTCTTCATTTTTACCATGTCTCGGTTTTCTCATGTTTGACAGTAAGTCTAATCTAATTTTCTAAAATAAAGCACAACTTATTGATCACATTTTAAATTAAATAGTTAAATATTAGTCACTACAGTTACGTGGCAAAGTTGTTCTTAAAGTAGATTTAAACAACTCAAATAAAGTGTTAATATTACTTATTTATATATAACATTTTTATGTAATTTCAAAAACAGGCTTTCAATCTTCATTAATATGCAGTTTTTTTTAAAAGAATGCCTTGTGACCCTGCCATAAAACTTCTTGTTCAAAAAACGTATTGTTATGCGGTGACAACTAACTGTGTTCCTGTGCTGTCCCCTCGCTAAATGTACTGTACCCATAATAGTGACTATGGTGGACCATTGCAACACAAATTGTGCAGATATGCTATCAGCTGTATTTCCTCACTACATATGATGGTTATGTTTCTGTTTGCAAAATTAAACGTTTTTCTTTGTTTCTATTATAAAATTTTGCAAACGGGTAATTATTCTCCTTTATTGATGTGCGTTGATGAGGCTGCACTGATAGGCAGCACTGATGGTAACTGCACTGGTGGGCATTGATGAGGAGGCACTGATGATGCGCACTGATATGCAGCAATGATGGGCACTGATAGGCAGCACTGATGGACACTGATAGGCAGCACTGATGGGCACTG